GGCCCTCCTCTTCCACCTTCAGGAAAATCTGATAAGGGGAAGGGGAAGAAATCTTATGTAGTCAAGTTGATTATGCGTTTCAATAATGAAATTGGTTCAAGCAGTCAACCAACTACCCCTACCTCTACCTCCACTGGTACATCTGTTCCATCTCCATTAAAAGTTCCCGGCTTCAATCCCACTCCACATACATCTACACCTACCTCTCTTCCATCTCCATTACAAGGGCCTGTCTTGACACCCACTCCATACCAAGTGCCTACTAATCAAATGGCATCACTCTCTCCCAATGTGGGTTCTAACCTATCAACTCCCACAAATATTGCACCATCACCTGGTACAGTGGATGCAGATCCATATTCCAGTTCACCCAATAATGACGAGGAAGAATGTTCCTATAGTCGGCCAATGATTACACCCGTTGGAGGAGGGTAACAAAAAAATTTAACTCAATTAATATATATACACAATTCATTGTTCTATTATTCTAATGTTTGAGTTTAATTTTGGTTTAGGTTTTATCCTACAAGAACTGCATCGAAGGCAATTACAGCCACCATCAAGCAACAGTTTGATGAGCCATGGCTAACATGGGGACAAATCCCTAAGGAAACTAGAGATGTTTTCTTTGACCGATTTAAGGTACACACTTCTCACTAACCATCATACACAAAACTAGTTATTCCTTAGACCACATGTATATGTTATAAAGATTTCAACACTTTTATTATTATTCAAACCTATTCTTCTTAATATAACCGAGAAAGGTTTCATGGAAGCCTAAAGATGAGGAAAAGGTCAAAAAAAATTATCACACCAAGGCATCTCATAGGCTATCAGAGATGTATAAAAAATGTAGAACTCTAGGAAAAAAACCTCATTGGCTAGGGGAGGATACTTGGAATGGTCTTCTGGAAAAGTGGAACATGCCACTTTATAGACAAAAGTGTGAAACAGCTAAGAAGAATCAAACATCTGAAAAGGGTGGTTGTTTGCACATTGGAGGATCTATTAGCGTGCATGAGCATGCTATTCGTTTGGTATGTAACTTGTACATTTTATTTCTTAAATTTGTAATCATAAATTTTACAAATGTTTATTAACAACTCATTTTGTTTGCAGTCACAAGAGCTTGGTCGGTCTGTGCATGTTGATGAGATATTTCAGCAAACACATATTCNATACTAATGCATGTGTGTCATTTTGTGCAATATACATCACTGATTTTGGGTGCAGACACATAGGTTCCTTAAATAAACATTCTTTCCTTCTATCCTGCCATAGAAAGAAAGGTGTGTGGTTATTTGCTGAATTTGTGAGTCACTAAGAGTTTTAATGCCACTCTTATAGAGCTCCTCTAAGATCATGAGTTGTTTTGTGGTAGGGCTCCATCTTGAAGAACCTGCTGGAGACATCTTTTCTTTCTCTCTTTGATGAGTTTCTTGAGACAGGAGAGGGATGTATAAATAGAGGGACAGAGAGAAAGATACAGTACAAAGGAGAGAAAGAGACAAAAAGGAAATATTTATGACTGATGAGTCAATATTTTCTTGACTTCACCTAGTGTATTGTGCTTGAATTAATTAGGCAATTGTGCTTAAATGTCCGTTATTTTTCCGTTTTTGCTAACTGTGCTTAATTTAACCAAAAATTCTTATTTTAATTAATTTGAATTATCTAAGCTTATTATTTTCATTATTGATTGCAGGGAAACTTTTGGAGATACATTTTGGGGACATTAGGAAGAATGCAAATAAATTCAAGACTCTCCACATAGACATTTTATAATTAATTAAATTGTAATTCAGTAGTTTAGAATTTTTGAATCAACTCTTACATTTTGGGTCAATTTTTGGTAAAGTAGGTTAGGCCCAAAAGTGGAGAGGGTGACTTGGCATCCTATATTTTTTTTTAGGACAGCCGCCTCCCACTTAAAAAGAGGACACATTTTTCATTTTGAAAGGGGATTGGAGACACACGACCGAGAGCCAGCCGCCACCCTCACGGAACTTAACTTGTAGCATTTTTTTCTTTTACGAAATGAAAGCTTGTGCACGTTATTATTCAATCTCTACTTGCATTTTATGATTCTGGAAGTCGCACTCGGTGATTGATTTAACTAGTTGGCAACACGGAATGCATTTGAGTTTGTTTTAGAAAGAGACGATGATTCATAGCTTTGCTTTAGTTTTGGAAAAGCACACTGCTGCCACGGCTGCAAGCAGCGTTGAGAGTGAAATGATAAACGACACACGCTGTTGGATCTTTGTTGGGATGACAGGAGCAAGCAGACGACTGAGAAAAGGAGTGTCGATTGATGAAAAAGGAAGTGGTGATTAAGTGGAGGAAGAACACGTTACGGGAGGAGGAAGTGTTGATTCATTTTGCGAGAAGAGGAGCTTCATTATTGGAGAGCAGTTGTCACGGAAAGGAAAGCAGCACACGCGCAAGAGAAATGAGTGTTTGTTTCCTTTAGAAAAGTGAAACACGGTGATTGGATGGTAGGAGGTGTGTCCGTGACGTGGAGCAAGGCATGGAGCAAAAGGAATGATGTTTTTCCTTTCTTTAAGTTGAGACGGTGATTGATGATGGAGAGAAGCAGCACGAAGGATTTTGGAAGGGAGATTTCAGGAGCTGGGAGGTGCACTCAGGCTTGATTTTAGAAAAGGGGGGGACAGGCTGTTACGTCTAAGAGAAGAGGAGAAATCACTTTGCTGGAAGGAGAGGGCACGGTGATGGCTGGAAGAAGTGGTGCAGCACGGTGTTTTCTTTCTTTTAATTTAGAAGCTTGGTGATTTATTTGTTGCAAGGTGCTTGATGTGTTGTTTGAAGTCTCGTTTTTGCTGATTATGGTTTATGCATTTAATTAGTTTATGTATTTAATTAGTTTATGATCTAGTGCTTCCTTGGCTAACATATAGACCATTCGGTCTCATAGGCTAGCTCTTTCATGTCTTTTTAGTCACTAGTTTGTTTGGTTTTATTTCATTTTATTAGCTCATCCATTTTTCAAGTCCAATTTAATTAACTGGATGGTGTGCGGTTTAGGATTGTTCGGTTTAATGTTTTCATTTACCTTAATGTTTCTAATTGTATTCGGTTGTGTTTAATTCTCATTTTTAATTTCGTCAATTGCATTCACAAACCTTTCACAAAACCCCCCACTAAGTGTTCGACCTATTGACTGAACCACATTTGGTCCTTGAGAGACGACCTAGGAGTCACTTCCTAGTACTATACTGCATTCTTTAATGCACATCAAATTTGATGGGCCGCGACAACCGCATCAATGACAGACAAGAACTGAAGATCAATGTTTACACTGGTGCATGTTGAAGAGTGTGAGATCTTAGATTGAACTGAAGATCCTTAACAAATATATGAGATTACAAAAGTAAATGATGTAAGTGTTTGATAGTGTTTGACAACTGTTGTTAACCCTTAAGCACTTCTCTCTCTTTCCCATTCTATAAGAGTAGCAACTCCGAACAAAGAAAACTTAGCTCGTAGGCTATTACCAAAGATTGCATTCAATTTTGTAGGATATCCTCGTCTACAACTACCCCCACAAACAGTAATCAAACCCTTCAACACACACAACCTTCAAGTAATTTTTAATAACATCATAAATACCCATTACATATAGACATCTCATAAAAGACATGCTCACTTATTCTTATCACCTTCATAGGCCTTTCTTCAATCCAGTAAACACCACTTCCTTATACCTCCGCCACACCCTTTTGCCTCGAACCTCCAATCTCATCTTCTTATTAGACTTCACATTCATTTCTCTCCTCCCATCTCAATCAAAGGACTAAAGATTTCCAATAACTTGGATTCTTCTTTCACGGTTCGATAGATCTTATTTAGCCATGGGTTTGAGTTCTAAGCAGGTTTCTAGCAATGGACTTGATTGGAAACAAACCTTATTGGAGGCTCAGGACTTGGAACTCCCAAAGCCTAATATGATGAGGAAATAACAGCAGCAACAACAAACTCAGCCTTCAATATACTTCTGCCTAACAATCTCAAAATTGGTTCATAGATTCAACAACTTCACATCATAGTACTTCTGATCCTAACAATCATGTGGAAGCCATTCCTACTGAAGGAGATGTCAATGTGTTTCTAGGGAATGGATAAAGTTTGATTGTATAGTTCTTTGGTTCTGCTACTTTTGCCTCACATACTACACCACATGTCACTTTCTATCTGAAAAATCTTTTACATGTTCCCTCTATAAATAAAAATATTGTTAGTGTTAGCAAGTTTGCCCATCATAACCATGTTCCCTCTATAAATAAAAATCTTGTTACATCATCCTTTCCTTCATCTATTGTTTTAGATAATGTTTTTAAATGATGTAATATATCTCCAATAAAAAACACCTGTTGATTTTTCGTTGGCATGCTGAATGGAAAAATCTTATTAACTTAACTCTCACCCTTCTTTAAGAATTTATAGTCTCCATCTTCAACTTATTTTTTTGTGATTTTTGGGGACCATCTTACATTCAATCATCCCTGGGATACAATTATTATATTTTTTGTGATCTTGCTTAAAGTAAAAATATGGGTACCAGTTGCTGTCCAATTTCCTCTCCGATTCCAACAGCAATAGATGAACAATTCCCTTATTTTGGCTGTATCATCACCACTAATCAATTTAGAGTGAAACTTTTGTCTTTGTCTTCAATTTACACTTATTTATATGTCTTCAAGTTAGTCTTAACACATGCAATTTCCATAGCATTATTATGGGTGTGTCTTACAATTTCTTTTTTGATTTGTTAGACAAAGAAGAGTTTTGTCTAAGTAGACACTTGATTTTATTTTTTAAAGTTCTGCAACCTAACATATCAATACAGTGAATTACACAAAAGTTGATTGAATCCTATTTTCTGGCATGTAATTTATATTATTACCATTGACACATATTTTCTCTTGTTGATTGAATCATGTTTACACTCTCAATTCCATGATTGCACCTTCAGGAATATGTCATCAGGTTGTTCTGGCCCTCCTCTTCCACCTTCAGGAAAATCTGATAAGGGGAAGGGGAAGAAATCTTATGTAGTCAAGTTGATTATGCGTTTCAATAATGAAATTGGTTCAAGCAGTCAACCAACTACCCCTACCTCTACCTCCACTGGTACATCTGTTCCATCTCCATTAAAAGTTCCCGGCTTCAATCCCACTCCACATACATCTACACCTACCTCTCTTCCATCTCCATTACAAGGGCCTGTCTTGACACCCACTCCATACCAAGTGCCTACTAATCAAATGGCATCACTCTCTCCCAATGTGGGTTCTAACCTATCAACTCCCACAAATATTGCACCATCACCTGGTACAGTGGATGCAGATCCATATTCCAGTTCACCCAATAATGACGAGGAAGAATGTTCCTATAGTCGGCCAATGATTACACCCGTTGGAGGAGGGTAACAAAAAAATTTAACTCAATTAATATATATACACAATTCATTGTTCTATTATTCTAATGTTTGAGTTTAATTTTGGTTTAGGTTTTATCCTACAAGAACTGCATCGAAGGCAATTACAGCCACCATCAAGCAACAGTTTGATGAGCCATGGCTAACATGGGGACAAATCCCTAAGGAAACTAGAGATGTTTTCTTTGACCGATTTAAGGTACACACTTCTCACTAACCATCATACACAAAACTAGTTATTCCTTAGACCACATGTATATGTTATAAAGATTTCAACACTTTTATTATTATTCAAACCTATTCTTCTTAATATAACCGAGAAAGGTTTCATGGAAGCCTAAAGATGAGGAAAAGGTCAAAAAAAAATTTCACACCAAGGAATTTCATAGGCTCTGAGAGATGCATAAAAAATGTAGAACTCTAGGAAAAAAACCTCATTGGCTAGGGGAGGATACTTGGAATGGTCTTCTGGAAAAGTGGAACATGCCACTTTATAGACAAAAGTGTGAAACAGCTAAGAAGAATCAAACATCTGAAAAGGGTGGTTGTTTGCACATTGGAGGATCTATTAGCGTGCATGAGCATGCTATTCGTTTGGTATGTAACTTGTACATTTTATTTCTTAAATTTGTAATCATAAATTTTACAAATGTTTATTAACAACTCATTTTGTTTGCAGTCACAAGAGCTTGGTCGGTCTGTGCATGTTGATGAGATATTTCAGCAAACACATATTCGTCAATCAACAGGGGAATTTGTGGACGAAAGGTCTAGGCGGACCCATGTAAGTTTCTACTAACTCTATCACATTATACATTCTTGGTTTTTAAACCTTAGGTTTACTTATTATATTTATTCATTTAACAGGAACAATTTCAAGCAAAATTCGCAGAAATAAGATCTGAGACTGCATCTCTTGGTGCCTCAACATGTAGTCCTCTAGACCTTGTGAAGGAGGAAAGATTGAGAAACCGATGTTGGTTAGAGGCTGTTGGTGGAAAATACAAGGGACGTGTATACGACATTGGAAATGTCAGTTCCCAAGATGACTGTGTCGATAGTTACATCCAACAGACACAGGCATCTTCTTCTACTCAGCAACAAAATTCAGAAGAAATTGTTAACCTTAAATCGCAGTTACAACAATATGGTCAACAGCTTGAAAAGTTTCAAGGCTTTATTGGCGTCCTCTTGCCATTCCTTCCGCCTTCAGCAGCCACAGCTGCACAAGACTTTTTAAACTTCCAAAATTTTGAAGTTCAAAATCAAGCACCTAATGATGTCCAACCAGAACAGCAACCTCCACAACAACAACCTCCAGAACAGCAACCTCCACAACAACAACCTCAAGAACAACAATCACCAGACCACCAACCACAAGATGAAAATAATTATATGCACTATTAGGCATTTTATACAACTAATTTCCATTACTATTGAACTTATTTAGAACCAGAACATATGAACTTATCAAATGTTTAATCTTGGAATATTTTGATGTAAACAATATTTATGTATTCATGTACAATGTTACCTTTATGGATTTATATGTCGATGTGTAATGTATAATGTCCAGGTTTGCTTATATGAATTTTGAATGTTCAGTTATAATGTTCAAGTTTGTTTGTATGAAATGAATTGGGCATGTTTAGGGTATTGTAAACGACTTTTTCAGCTCTTCTAAACCAATTATATACGGATATATTCGTATATAAATTATATCAGGATAAATCCGTATATATATAAGTTATATACGGATATGTTCGTATACAAGTTATATACGGATTTATCCATATATAAGTTATATACGAATTTATCCGTATATAAGTTATATACGGACATATCTGTATATAACTTATATACGGATAAATCCATATATAATAATAGCTACGATAGATTTATATACCGATTTTTGCCCGTATATAATCCGTATCTAATTAAGTTTTATATACGGATTTTTGGCTTTATATACGGATTTGGTTGTATGTAATTCAATTTTTTCTTGTAGTGTTCCTTCCACCGTTCGGTTCGAGCCCTCACTGTTCGGTTTTGAAAGCACGAAAGTTTCTAAACCTCTTCTTATAGGTTTAGACAATAGTAGAAGAAAAAGGAGGAACATGATGTCCAGAGAACTTTTCCCTTCTCTTGAGAGTCTTCAACAGTCTTCACCTCAAAGATCTGACAAGGAAACAAAAAATATGGCTGAAGAGCAGAATGGTACACGTATCTTGGCAGATTATGCAACAGTTATTGGCCCTTATCATTTTAATAGCATTGCAAGGTCGAGAGTTAATGTTGCAAATATGGAGATGAAGCCTGCTTTGATTCAATTGGTGAAGAGCAACCAATTCAATGGATTATCACATGAAAATCCATATGAGCATCTGACCACATTCAATGAGATATGCAATACTGTTAAGATCAATGGCATGCCAGATGAAGCCATTAGACTTAGCTTGTTTCCTTTCTCTTTGGGAGGCAATGTTAAGATGTGGTGTAACTCTTTTCCAGAGAACCGTTTTACTGAGCGGGAAACAGTGGTTGCAAAATTTCTGAACAAATATTTCCCACAATCAAAGGTGAACAAAAGTAAACAAGAAATTTCTTCTTTCAGGCAGGGCATAGATGAAACATTAGGTCAAGCGTGAGACTGATTCAAAGGATTATTGAGGAAGACACCCACACATGGCTTTAATGATCCTACAATAGTCATTCTATTCCTTGGAGGTCTAAGCTCATAGACTAAATTGATGTTGGATGTCTCAGCTGGAGGTAATTTCAGGTGCAAGACTCCAGAGGAAGCTTATGAGTTGATTGAAAATATGGCTACCAATGATAATGAGATGCATAGTGAAAGAACTCGACTTCAATAGAAAGGAGTTCTACAAATACAATCTCAAGATGCCCTGTTAGCACAAAACAAGATTATGACTCAACAACTAGAAACTTTGATGAAGAAAATCTCTCAATTGCCAAAGGAGTTGTAGAATATTTCAAAAGTTCAACAACAACTTTGTAAGTTGTGTGGTGGAGATCATATTAATGGTCAATGTGCTATGCAAGAAGATACCCAAGAGGAAGTTAAGTTTATGGGTCAAGGCAATAAGTTTTGTCCAGGAAATTACACACAAGGATGGAAACCTCACCAAGGTATGGGTCAAGGGCAAGTTGGGCAATTCAATAGACCACAACAACAATAATGGCAACAACAACCCTCCTTATCTAACAGAATGGCAAAACTAGATGACACACTTCAACAGTTTATGCAAGTGTCCATCTCTCATCATAAAAGCACTGAAGCTATAATTAAAATTTTGGAGATTCAGGTTGGTCAACTAGTTAAGAAGTTAGAGGCTTTTGGAGCTAATATTGAAGTTAACCCAAGGGAGGAGTGTAAAGTCATTATTACTAGAAGTGGCAAGTTGTTAGATGAGAGAAAAATAGAGAGAAAAGAGAAAAATAAGTTGAGTGAAAAAGAAAAGGAGAAAGATGAGGGAGATAAAACAAGAGAAGAAGAGGACGGAAAAAAGAGAAAGAAAAGCAATTTGAGTGTTTTATGGAAATATTTAAGAAACTGGAGATCAACATACCTTTCTCTGAGGCACTGCAACAAATGCCTTCATATGCTAAATTTTTTAAGGAACTTCTCACGAAAAAGAGGAAATTCATTGAAGAGGAAACTATTAAAGTGCAAGGAAATTGCAGTGCTATCATATAGAAACTCTTACCTCCTAAGTTTAAAGATCCAGGAAGCTTCACTATTCCATGTACTATAGGGAAGTTAACTGTTGGAAGGGCTTTGATTGATTTGGGAGCCAACATCAATTTAATGTTGCTCTCTATGTTTAAAAAGATTGAAGGTTTGGAACTCAAGCCTACTNCAACAACCTCAAGAACAACAATCACCAGACCACCAACCACAAGATGAAAATAATTATATGCACTATTAGGCATTTTATACAACTAATTTCCATTACTATTGAACTTATTTAGAACCAGAACATATGAACTTATCAAATGTTTAATCTTGGAATATTTTGATGTAAACAATATTTATGTATTCATGTACAATGTTACCTTTATGGATTTATATGTCGATGTGTAATGTATAATGTCCAGGTTTGCTTATATGAATTTTGAATGTTCAGTTATAATGTTCAAGTTTGTTTGTATGAAATGAATTGGGCATGTTTAGGGTATTGTAAACGACTTTTTCAGCTCTTCTAAACCAATTATATACGGATATATTCGTATATAAATTATATCAGGATAAATCCGTATATATATAAGTTATATACGGATATGTTCGTATACAAGTTATATACGGATTTATCCATATATAAGTTATATACGAATTTATCCGTATATAAGTTATATACGGACATATCTGTATATAACTTATATACGGATAAATCCATATATAATAATAGCTACGATAGATTTATATACCGATTTTTGCCCGTATATAATCCGTATCTAATTAAGTTTTATATACGGATTTTTGGCTTTATATACGGATTTGGTTGTATGTAATTCAATTTTTTCTTGTAGTGTTCCTTCCACCGTTCGGTTCGAGCCCTCACTGTTCGGTTTTGAAAGCACGAAAGTTTCTAAACCTCTTCTTATAGGTTTAGACAATAGTAGAAGAAAAAGGAGGAACATGATGTCCAGAGAACTTTTCCCTTCTCTTGAGAGTCTTCAACAGTCTTCACCTCAAAGATCTGACAAGGAAACAAAAAATATGGCTGAAGAGCAGAATGGTACACGTATCTTGGCAGATTATGCAACAGTTATTGGCCCTTATCATTTTAATAGCATTGCAAGGTCGAGAGTTAATGTTGCAAATATGGAGATGAAGCCTGCTTTGATTCAATTGGTGAANAAAAGTAAATGATGTAAGTGTTTGATAGTGTTTGACAACTGTTGTTAACCCTTAAGCACTTCTCTCTCTTTCCCATTCTATAAGAGTAGCAACTCCGAACAAAGAAAACTTAGCTCGTAGGCTATTACCAAAGATTGCATTCAATTTTGTAGGATATCCTCGTCTACAACTACCCCCACAAACAGTAATCAAACCCTTCAACACACACAACCTTCAAGTAATTTTTAATAACATCATAAATACCCATTACATATAGACATCTCATAAAAGACATGCTCACTTATTCTTATCACCTTCATAGGCCTTTCTTCAATCCAGTAAACACCACTTCCTTATACCTCCGCCACACCCTTTTGCCTCGAACCTCCAATCTCATCTTCTTATTAGACTTCACATTCATTTCTCTCCTCCCATCTCAATCAAAGGACTAAAGATTTCCAATAACTTGGATTCTTCTTTCACGGTTCGATAGATCTTATTTAGCCATGGGTTTGAGTTCTAAGCAGGTTTCTAGCAATGGACTTGATTGGAAACAAACCTTATTGGAGGCTCAGGACTTGGAACTCCCAAAGCCTAATATGATGAGGAAATAACAGCAGCAACAACAAACTCAGCCTTCAATATACTTCTGCCTAACAATCTCAAAATTGGTTCATAGATTCAACAACTTCACATCATAGTACTTCTGATCCTAACAATCATGTGGAAGCCATTCCTACTGAAGGAGATGTCAATGTGTTTCTAGGGAATGGATAAAGTTTGATTGTATAGTTCTTTGGTTCTGCTACTTTTGCCTCACATACTACACCACATGTCACTTTCTATCTGAAAAATCTTTTACATGTTCCCTCTATAAATAAAAATATTGTTAGTGTTAGCAAGTTTGCCCATCATAACCATGTTCCCTCTATAAATAAAAATCTTGTTACATCATCCTTTCCTTCATCTATTGTTTTAGATAATGTTTTTAAATGATGTAATATATCTCCAATAAAAAACACCTGTTGATTTTTCGTTGGCATGCTGAATGGAAAAATCTTATTAACTTAACTCTCACCCTTCTTTAAGAATTTATAGTCTCCATCTTCAACTTATTTTTTTGTGATTTTTGGGGACCATCTTACATTCAATCATCCCTGGGATACAATTATTATATTTTTTGTGATCTTGCTTAAAGTAAAAATATGGGTACCAGTTGCTGTCCAATTTCCTCTCCGATTCCAACAGCAATAGATGAACAATTCCCTTATTTTGGCTGTATCATCACCACTAATCAATTTAGAGTGAAACTTTTGTCTTTGTCTTCAATTTACACTTATTTATATGTCTTCAAGTTAGTCTTAACACATGCAATTTCCATAGCATTATTATGGGTGTGTCTTACAATTTCTTTTTTGATTTGTTAGACAAAGAAGAGTTTTGTCTAAGTAGACACTTGATTTTATTTTTTAAAGTTCTGCAACCTAACATATCAATACAGTGAATTACACAAAAGTTGATTGAATCCTATTTTCTGGCATGTAAT